CCCGACCCCAGAGGCCTGGCCGCGGGCAGAGCTGGGAAGGGCAGGACGAGCCCTGGACTTGTGTCCTGGCGTGTGGATGTGTGTACGTCCTGTGCCCTGTCCTGGGCCCAGCACTGCTGGGCTGCTCCACGCACACAGCCTCGACGCTGCCTCAGCACACGCCCGCCTCCCTGACGGCCGTGCAGTGTGCAGCCTGCCTGTGGCCCTGGCCCCTCAGACCCTGCGACTCTTCCCTGGGGATGCCCCTGCCCCTGCCAGGCGCGCGTGCCGGGCTCAGCCTGGGCTGGGACCCAGGGCCCGCCTTCCGCGTGCTGCCAGACTGGCCCCCGCTGCTCCTGCACCCAGGTGGGCGCCAGCAATGAGGCCCACCGGGGGCAGGGGCAAGGGCAGGGCCAGGTGAGGGAGCAGGGCCTGCGTGAGCCTGGGGGTGGGACTTCGGGGGGTAGCAAGACTGAGGCTCCCTGGGGAGACTGGACAAGGCCCAGGAGCAGGGATGTGGCCTCAGTGAGCGCCAGAGGCCCAGGTCCTGCGTGTCCAGGGTGGGGGAGGGTGGCTCTGGGCCATTTCCCTGCAGCCCCTGCGCATCACCTTGCACTTGACAGCGAGCACACCTGTCTCCCCAGACCCTGACCTGGCAGTGACACCATCGGCCGGCGGAGCTGTGGGGGCACCTGCCGACATGGTCGGGTACGGGGGTCCACCCCTCAGGCTCCAGGGGCACCCCCCTCGGGCCCGGCTGGCTGTCTGTCCCACAGGGTCACCTGTAGCTCACATCCCCCCGCCCACACGGACAGACTACGGACTTGGGAGGCGGGCGCTGGTGGGAAGTGGCCCCAGACTCAGGCAGGAAGAGGAGGGGCTGACGCCAGGGCGGATGTGGGGCTGCAGGGTTTGTGCAGTGTGTGGTCCCCCAGTGGGGGGTGCGTGGCTGGGACGGCCTGGCCACCAGGCCCCAGGCCTCCATGCGTGGGCCCTGGATGTCGCTGTGCTAACCAGGGCTCATCCCCGTGGGCAGGAGGGACGGACGTGGCCCTGATGCAGGCTTTGCTGTGCCCTCCTGGAGGAGGAAGGGCCTGGGCGCCGGAAGAGGCAGGTGCCCACCGGCTCTGCGGCCTTAGAAAGCCCAGGGGCGCCCTGGGGGCGGGTGGCACCTGTTCTCGGGCTCTGAGGACCTGAGAGCCCACACAGACCTGCTGGGCCCCACCTCCCGCCTTCAGCAGCTGACCACCCCTCATGCTCCCTAAAGACCCCAGGAGTCCCCTCTGTGTGACCCTGGGCGGTTGGGTGGGCGGGCCCCTGGCTGCACCTCGTTGCTGCGAGGCTCTGGGGAGCAGGAGTTCCCCTCTGCTCCGTGCTGCCGGCCTTCCCCCGATGTCTCTCCTGCTCCCCAGTGAGGACTGAGCACCAGGAGAGGAAAAGTGGGTCGCGTTCCCCAAATCCCATTCCACTTCCACTCTAGCAGCAGGGCGAGAGCGTGTTCCGGACCAAGTGCAGAGCCACGGCGAGGACAGGCGACCCTAAGAGGCAGGGTCCACGTGTCCTGGAAGCGTGGCTTCCCGGCGCCGTGCACCGACGAGGCGGGTCCGTGGTCTGTCCGCGGGCACTGCTGCCGGCCCTTGCACTGGGCGGAGCTGGTTCG